TAAAAGGAAATTTCAACTTAGAATTTTCGCTACTCTACTGGGTACGTACCGGTAAGTGCTTTCCAAATCATTTTTCTTGAAGCTGATTATTTACAAAAATAAAAGTTAAGTCCAATCTCTTTAAATTCCTTTTGTTAGTGTTTTCTGCTTGTTTTTCATATTCTACAGCTTTATCTCTTCCAAGAAACTTGGTACATGTTGGAAAGTACATACAGGTGTATGTAGTGGAGTAAGCCTTTAATTTTGGTGGCAGGTACATGTTTCAGTGTTGGCTCCCAAACAGGATCACCGCTGTACATTATTTAGTACATACACATTTAAGGGTACCAGTACATGCATGGTACCGGTATGTTCATAGTTTAGCAGATGTTAATTACATGTGTACATGCACAGGAATAGAGCATGTTGCCACAGGAAAATCAAAACACTAGATTTTGGGGCATTTTAAGGATTAGAAGTGGAATTTAGAAATGCACTGATTGAATGTGGAAAAAGCACATGTTTTGTACAATAGGTGCTTAATTGATTAATTAATTAACAGTGCATGGTACCAGTAACAGCATACAAGCTACCTGTTTGTTTTATGCTGGAGTATTATTTGTAGTCATGTGTAGGCCCCTATATGTTCTAGTTCATGCACAGTCAACATTCATGATGTGGCACTTTGAATGCCATGATGTTGGATAATATGTGAACACATCAGTTAATTGTTAGTGGGTTCTGGTGCTACAGTTTGAGGTCATATACTTCTACATGTATGTTTTCTTCCTTCCATATTGCTTCTATTCCTAACACAATAACTGAGTGCATGTAAATGTACCCCCAGAACTAAGCGGATCGGACGACAAACTCCACAGAGCACAGCGGATGATGAACCACACAGTTCTGGGGGTAACATCCTTCCACTTAGTTGTACATGCCCAGTGCTGAGCTTCATCTCTGCTGCCTAGTTCAGGACTTCGTTTCACCTTCATAAACTTATTTTCCCAAAAGAAACCCTCTAGCTAAAGACAGCTCCATTCCTTGCTGGAGGATCACTCCATGTGATGACAAAGCTAAAGCCCACGCTGGAGACAAACTGCAGAAGAGGGCCCTCTATTTAGAGCACTGATCCAGGCAACCTTCAGTGGTTGATTAGCTATGCATCAGCAGTTCTGAAAACTTTCCAGATTTGTCCCTGTGCTAACACTCCAGGCAATTGTGTTACTGTTGTGTATAGGAGTTAGGGGGCGGGCGTTTGCCTGTTTGGCCTTGCTTTGCTACTGGTAGGGACTCTGCCTAACCCACACACCCTGAGTGATTGCCCTTTGACAAAGGAAAGTTATATATTGCCTCCTCCCCCTGATGAATGGACTTGCCCTAAAAACTGGGAAAGTTCACCCACAGTTTGGTTTTGTCTGGCCTCAAATAAACAAAGGGGTGAGAGATTCCTGAGGAGTTCGGTTCTGAAAATTTGACCTGCGTTGAATAAGAAGTCAGGGATTTAAAAAACTGTCAATTTGTAAAGTGACAAGTTGATAAAAGGGTTGTATGGTTATAGAATGGTATTGGCAAGAAGCTTTAGACATAGCTTTCTTACTTCAAATAGTATGCATAACTGCATAGCAGGTGGTAATACATGTAGGTTGCTATCACCATATCAACTGCAGTCCATGGATCCTAACAAGTTATAAGTATGGTAGGTACATTTTAGTGTTTTTCTGTGCTCTGTACATGATACGTGTAGATATTGGCCCAATTTCATGGCGCTGCTTACCGCAGAATTCCATGCTTACGATCTCCATTGTGCGATAACTGCACAAGCAGAAGAATTTTTTGCTAACCCTTCAAGCACTGAGCACAGAATCCTTAGTTACGGAATTTACACATGCGCATAAGCCAAGATTCCTTGCTTGCTAACTCATGAAATACGTTCGCTGTACCGGTTAGCACAGATTTTTCTGCTACGGTAAGCGCCGATTTTTCGCTTGCGGTAAGCAGTGCCGTGAAATTGGGCCCTGTATTTGTGTATTTTTACTGTTCTTGGAAAGTGTTGAGATCAACATTGACGCAATCATGACAATGTATAGTGTATCTGTGCACAAGATTTTCATGTCGCTTGAGGAATTCAGTCTTTATAAAACAACATAGTGTGAGATGGTCCTGCATATGTACCTGTAGTATTTGACTTTTCATCTGATGATTGATAAGATTTTGGTTGGACCATGGAGGGCCCTGTACCAGGTACCTCTGTGATTGGACTGACGTTTCTATCAGTGTACTGCCTGCATATCTGCAGTTCTGTTCATCAACACTGAGCAAAGCAAGGGTGATTCCTACATACTACTGACTCATTAGCTTTCGGTAGGTTAGAACTTGGCAAAAGATTTTACTACACGTACATGTACAAGTATGTATGTACATGTACATGTACCTGTGATCACTACATACTATACATTTATAAATTTATGTACATGTAGGCCTACGTGTTGTTGGAAGTGACATGCAGCTCTCATCATTCATGAATAAGAAAGGGAGTTTTATCATAAGGTCTGCCTGATAGAAATGATAAGACCTGATGTGGTTGAACCATGATGATTTCATTGCTTCAGAGTATGTGTGGCACTGAGATTGAGCATCATAACCAGTCATGCAGCGAGACCGCTCAGAACATTGTGTCTTGTTTGTGTTGTCAGGGTTTCAAATATGTCAGAATGGCATGCATAATTTTTTGCTTAATTACATGTAAATTGCCAAAGGCCTGTACTTGTATGTTCAAACATACAACTCCATAGTTAGGCTATGAGGGCATGTATACACATGCACATAAATGCAGGTCAATCTCAAGTGGGTATTAAGATACATAACATGTGTCCTCAAAACAACAGAAACCTGAAGACCAAACCAAAATAAACTCCATCCCCAATACTTAAAAATAAAAGAAAATTCCCCCAACATCCAATCCAAGGAAACACCATACATGTAACTATAACAACACCTGACTCACACACACATTCATTAAAGCTTGATGTGTTTGTGTGCATTTGGCAATCACAACACCCTAGTGGTTGAAGAGGGATGTACATCGTACTCTGTAATCGTAAATGTTACTTTCATGTACAGTACGCTCTTGCCACTCCTGTGTCATGCCACCACAGAAATGGCTTCTGGTTTTGGTTGTTACATAACGCTTAACACTAAATTCAAACAATTTTTTTTTATTTGTGTATACATGTAATTTTAGGGGCTATGCCCTTTAGTACATGCATTATATCTACATCTATAAAATACATGTACTGTAGATATGTAGGCTTGCAATGTTGCATGTTTCTGTCCACTGCACTGACTGTTTCGATGATAAATCAGCCAGATTGATGACCCATTTTCCCCAAGGACATATTTGCTGTTTGGGCAAATCCCAGGGTCATGGTACTGGTAGGGTTGTTGACTGGTGCCAGTCTGCCAGATGTTGGTTCAGTTCAAGGTCACGTACAGTGAACCTGGTTCTTAGCTTAATCACCAGTCTTCCTGTTCTTGCACCCCTCGATGTGCTAATGATACAACTAAATGCATTGACGTGCACACTCTTTTAAAGAGTTAGAAATGTCGAACACCAATTTCAGTAAGCTGGACCTACTGTACATGTACATCACAAAAACATACATCCACTTCGGTATGTTTACATACAGAACGTTCATGTAGCGGTAAATATGCATCAGTAGCTAAGTGTTTAACCGGTAGATATGCCAAGAATTTTTTGTAGGGCTGGAAGTTTCTGCACACGGTGGTGGGGAATATACAAAGATGCTGAAAAGTTTGCAGGAGGTTTGCATCTTGAATTTTGAAACTGTCTAAAAAATGAAGAACAAGTACATATACATTGTACATGTATGTGTCCATTAGTCGATCTAACCTACCAGTAGGACTTGTGCAAGGATTTTTGAAGGATTGAAGTACAATGTATAATGGCGGGGTGTCATAGGGTTCAAATACTGAGCTGTAATCATAGAATGGCAAAGAATTCCTGCATTTCACATACCTGTACATTAAAGATTGTTGAAAATTTTCAGGAAATAAAAAACATTTGGAAGAAAACTGGTGACCTAACCCATAAAACAAATGAAACATAATTCCCAGAGCTACGTTTTATTTTCCAGTTCAGTGCACAGCACATTATATGTAAAATAATAGGAGCACTAAAAATTTTTAAATGTATAAAACATTTTCACCAAGATGCAAAACTGAATGGTACATCAAAACAAAACCGACAACTGGTGGCTGAGGCTAACCAGAACTCCCTAGAGACCCTGTGGCAGGCTGACACACCAACATGTGCCATACAGGTCAATTCACTCCTATGGCAAACTAAAACCAAATTATTGAAAAACTGAACTGAAGATTTTAGGGGAGTTTGCCACAGTACAGTGAAAAAAAGGCCAAATGAAAAAACTAATTAGTTTAGCATCAGTGCCTGCCTCAAAAAATCTTGCTGCTTTTTTTCTTTGAAAGTTGCCCTTTCCAATGTCCTTAGCCATCACACCGTAGTTTCTACAACGCCCACACAACCTCGTGCACGCACGCACGCAGACTCATGTACTTCTGTGCACGAGTCTGAAGTGAACATGGCACTATCGTTGTGTGGTTATGGAAGTCCAGATCAGCATGCATACCAAAGTATTTAAAAAGAAAAAGCTCCCTCCTCGTTTTTTTGCAAATACAACTGATGCTAAGCTATATTTTTTTTAAAGTGGTCTTAGTTTAGCTAAGTTTTATAAGATAACGTGTGTGGTGTGTTGAAATGTGATGTCAACCTCTGAAGCGGCAGAGGGACATTTTTGAAAGGCCAACGGAACTGTGAAAAAAATTAAAATGTTACCCCTCAAATTTCTTTTATACATGTATAATTTAGCAATCCATTATTTACATGATACATTGCTGGCACATGTACATGTAAGTGTCAGTGTTATGCTGCCACTTGAAGTCAGTGTAAAAATGCTACAATTTCTCTCTGTCATTTACAGGGAAGCTACATGTGAAGTCTTTGGTTACAGCCCTGAATTCTGAGGAAGGAATACCACAAGACACTGCTTGTGATCAATACATGGTGATCTCAGGGTCACAAGAACTAACGGATCATCAGGTAGAACCTTTTCTTGGCTCATCTGAGATATCACCTTGTCAGTTATACGTATGTGGAAATAACTCCAGTAAGAACTCTGCAGGACTTGCAGGTCAACAAACGTTTGACGCTCAGGAGGAGCAAAGCTCTCAACGAGATGAGACCAACATTTATAAGAGCACTTTCCTATGCGCAGATGCATCCTCAACATTAAAGGTCAAATCCTCAGCAAACTCGGCAGACCAGATCCACGACGTGTTGGATATAAACACTGTTGCCTCGTTGCTGCCCAAGGGCAGAACTTCCACTGAGGAATCGGCCATCGAGCACATCCTGACTCTTGAGACCAACCAGTCTCAGCTTCGCTACCACAGCCTGCCGGCAGAAGACGGGAATGGGTGCTCCTCGGAGCAAGACAGCGGGATTTTTGACTTGTCCTTGGTCCAGCAGGAGGACTTCGACAATTGTGAGAGCAGAGAAACAGGCAGGGATTGGCAGTTGAGGAACATCACTCCTGAACAGCGTAGGAAGTGCCTTCAACTCACCCCGTCTGACTCTTCTAAGTCTTCAGACACCAATGAAACAGGACAAAAGACGACAGACTGTCCAAAAGTTAAGAGAAATTTACGCATTCCTGCTCGTTTTTTAAATAATCTTTCCTTCCCAGAGTCAGAGGTATGCATACCTGTGCCTGGTGAAAATACTGAACAGCCTGGAGAGTCGTCTGCAACAACTAAAATCGGAGTTGCTACTGACAGTTGTAAAAGAAAAATAACTGATATTGGAAAGACTGAAGTAACGGTAAGTAATTGCCCTGAAAGGGCAACACACTTACCCAAAGTACCTGAACGTTCGTTGTTGCGTATTTCATCGACATCGTCAGATTCAGCACCGGAGAGTAGTCAAGAAACAGGGAATCCTCAGGACATTGACATGGGGAAGAAAACACAGTCACTGTCTAAAGGGAAACAGCCCCACGTTGTTTACTCAAAAGAGGAGTTCAGTGAAGAGTACACTTCCCCTCAGAGAAGCAAGTCCTGGGACAAGAAGAAACATGGAAGGAAAGTCAGCCAAAATAAGGATAAACCAAAAGGGAAAGACAGGAAGAGAATCCTCTCAGATCCCTCACAGGGGATGGACCTGAAAGTTACAATTTCGGCGCCACTCTCAGCTTCCCAGGAGGAGAGCCTCAGGAACAAGAGGCATACCATAGGTGGTGTTCCGCTGAGGACACCTACCCAAGAGGCTGGCACGGATACCGCGGAGCTCCTGGCTGACACAGAGATCCTGACAGTCCATCAAGAGCCACACCAATTCACTGCCTTGCTGAATGAATCAAACAACAACCAGGAACAGCACAAATCTGGGAAGAGTCTAGGTGCATTCCATGCTGGAGCAAGATCCCCTGAAGTCTTACCCACAGCCACAAAGCACCCAATGAAACAGCAGCAGGCTTTGCTAAGCTCTCCAGAGGTCGTAGTGGATACCTTGAACAAGGCATCAATTTCCGCAGATGTGGTCTCTGCTGGTCCACCTCCACCGAAGCCCAAGCGACTGAGCCTAACAAACCAGCTGCAGAAGCAGAGTGACAAACAAGTAGATGTTTCAATTCATCGGGATGGCTCTCAGCTAGGTCATGAAAGGAAAGATCATGTGTATGAACGTAAGACAGAAATAGCCGTGGAGCGGCAAGTTCTTTTGAAACAAGCTGTGAAAAGCCAGCCCCTTGACCAATCAAGTAAATTCGAAGATTCTCTCTCGAGCTCAGAAACGGCACGGGTGAACAGGTCCAATGCACCAAGCCCTTTCACCGTCGTAAGTCGTTACGGTGAGGATGGGGAAGAGGAACTCATTCTCGGTGCCTTGCCACTGCAAGAGAAACAAACGCAAGTTGTAGCAGAAAGGCAAGCCCCAGCACTGAACTCAGTTAGGAAACTAGAGAAGCCACCCATTGCAGGACGTAAGTTCCGTCACTACGCCTGCATAGAGCCTGTCGGGAAGCCTGTTGAGACGGTCAAAACAGAAGCTATGACAGAAGAATGCACACCAATTACACCACCCAAAGAGGAGCCATCGACACCCCATACAGATCAGAAATCCACATTAGGTAGCCCTGTACTTGTCACTGAGAGCCCAGTTGAACAGCATGATAAACCTCCAATCCAGCAAACTCCACCCGTGACCATCACTGCACCACTGGCCGACACCTCTTTGAAGGTTTCTGAAATCATTGCAGATACCCCCAATGTCTCTATCCCTCCCAAGTCGAGTTCTCCAGAAACAACTGAGAATCCCCAGGAAAGCCTGACCAAATACTGCCCCAAGTTCAGAGATGAATCGATTAAGACTGACCTCAACATCGGACACTGCCTCCACTGCCTCTATCCCTCCCCAATCTCCTCCAGATCTGGACTACCAGGAGCTCCTAGCTCACCAGGTGTCTTCAGAGCAGTCTCAACCCCCATCTGAGTGTTCCATCGACATTGACCTGCCCAAGCTAGATCCAGAAATGGAGCAGAAGATGGTGACCGTTTCCATGGCGATGATGCCCGAGCCACAGACGGCAGAGGTGACTGTCATTGATGATAGCAACCAAGAGGAGAACAGTACTGACAAGGTTAAGAAACAGGAAGTAGCCGAACTCCAACCTCCTAAGAGCCCAGATACCAAGGTAAATTATCCATCCATGAATTTGAGTTCATCACAGAGCATGCACAAAATGAAGCATGTCATTGGTCATTTGGGGTAATCAGTATGAAATGGAAGAGGCCCTTTCAGCTTACCCCTGCATGCCTCGAACCTGCCCGAGGTGGGGCAGCATGGGGAGCTTTCATCTCAATCAGCCTAATTGAAATACTGAATTGGCTTATTCTCCATACAATCTTGTTTTACAAATTCCATATCTGTATGATCTTGAAGGAGGAACCTGCCTCGGATTCCCTCTCTGCGTCCCAAACGGTGACGCTGCGGGCTCACCTCCCGTCCGTCTCCAGCAAGGATGAAGATGACAATGAAGAAGATGAAGACAGTGGGGTCTATGACGCCAGCTACCGACACTCCGACTGGATCTATGTAGGCAACAACCAGGAGCTGCAGTTGATGACCAAACAGGTGGAGATGCAGGCAGGAACTTCTAAGCAAACAGGTACAATTCAGCGCTATAGTCAAGTACCAGACAAGCACTTTACTTTGCAAGTACTTCATATCTGTCACTAATGTTTCATCAAATACTATACAAATGCTGAAGTATTTTTACTAGTATTTAGTCGTGTTGTCTTTTACTTTGCTAGTACTTTACACACATGTTCGCTCAAGTACTACCACAAGTGCTTTCACTATGAACAATTGTGAAGGAATATCTTTGTTACGGCGCATCTATGAAGATCTTGTGGCTCAATCTGAGACTGCGGTTCTGTTGGTACTCGTCAATCAAAGTCTTGTACCTGTGGAGCAGTTGTGAGAACCTGTGAAGTGTTTGTTGCGTACTTGACTACAACTCATGTGGAACTTTTTCATTATGCCTTCATTGAGATTACGAAAACACTTGAGCAGATCTTGTGTGATTGTTCTTGCCAGTAGCTGAAGTGAACAGCTCTCCTGGAGCAAATGAAGAGTCCCACTTTGACCGAGCCGAGGAGGGCAGAGAGTCAGTGACGACGACCACATCAGAGAGTGAATTCCGGACGAAGTACCAAAGCCTGGCCTACCGGCGGGTCCACCGGAAGACATCGGCGATAGACTACCAAAGGCTGTCCCTCATCGGTAGGTAGAAGTGTCATTTGTTTTTGTGTGTCATTTAGTTTCAAAAGCGGCGCTGGGCTTTCTGCGAGCTGTGTACTAAAATTGTTACGTGGATTGCGCTGCATGGGAGCCGTTGAGATCACACTGAACATGGGTGCGGTTATCACCAGGAATACATGTTTGTCTACATTTGACCTTAAGGAGCCACTTTGAATTCACATGTTTATTACCTGTGTGATCAGCGGCTTATTTCACAAGACGGTGACTTTGCTGTGACCGTCATGGCCTGTTCAGTGACACTGTTAGTTGTGCTGCAGTTTTTTTTAACAATTTTGGGACTTAATAGATTTGGTAACTTCCACTGCTTAATGTGTATTGCAGTTTTTGTGACAGAGATGGTTACATGTAGAGCTTGTCATTTCTTGACACTTCATGAAATGCAAGAAGCATAAGGTCAAATAACCATTCAGATCACCAACAGCAACTTAGCTTTTCTGTCAAACATTGCTTCTAAACGGAAGTTTATTTCAACGTGTAGTGGAATGTTAGCCATGCCCTTTAACATATTAATCCCATGCGACATTTCAATACAACTGATTGCCAAATTTCAGGACGGTGCTCGAGTTTGCATGACATGAACTTTACAAAAACCTGCAGTAAATCCACAGAAATCAGATGCGATCACTACATACGCGCTCTGAAAAACCCTCGATGACACATCCCCCTTAATGCTGCAAACAACTGTGGTTTGCAGAGACAAATCCAGGATTACAGAAACCACCTGCCTTCGTGAAATATTCAAGGCTGATTATTAATCACATCTTACTGGTAAAATCTCCCTGTCTTCCTGATTCAAAAATCCTTCATTTCAACCCCCCCATCTCATTAGCACGGGAGAGGAAGGTCACAATTAAGAAGGTGGACAACATGTTTGGGTTTCGCATTCAGTACAGCCGACCAGTGGTGGTCACCGATGTAGACAAAGGTCAGTATTTAAACACAAATCTGTTTCATTTTGAGATGACTTTTCACACACTCTGCTGCTTAGATGTTGAGCAGACACTTTAATCAATCATAGGACATGCAGAAGTATTCAGGACGTATAGAGTCTCTGTCCTTTTGATGCCAGTTGTATTTTACTTCGAAGTGGCTTCTAAAACTTCGTTACAAAAGTATAATTCACAAAGTGTTACAAATCTCATGCAGCTATCAGGACACCAGACAATGACAGAAGTACTACTAAATACTAAATGAACATGCAACCCTATTTTAAGTTGATGAGACAAATGTCAGCCAATCTGAGGTAAGATCAAGAAAGCAACCGAAAGGTGATACTTCTGCCAACTTGGGCCATCCGTGGAAGTTGTAGGGAAAATGAGAGTGGTTTATTACTTTGTGGAGTGGGTAGCAAGGATTATGAATTTGGCCTGTTGATGTGATTTTACCTTTGATCAGTGTAAGCTTTCCTGTTTGGGGCAGATGTGCGCCGTTTGGCATTTGGGTGATGTGAATATTAATAACCCCCTGGGGACCGTTGAAATCCTGCATAACCTTGTTGGGTTTAGCATGGTTAGGGTTAATGCCACATTTTCAGACTAGGCGACAGAACAGCTGTCACGGTGTGACCCGTAAAGCCAGCTGTTAGGAGTTGATGTTTGATTGTTGCATGTACTGTAGGTGGTGCAGCGGAGCAGTCAGGCCTACGAGTCGGGGACATGTTGCTGAAGGTCAACGGCCATGATGTCAGGCAAGCTCCCCACTCCCACGTTGTACGTTTAGCAATGAGTGGTAAGCATGTCTACACGTATGCTATTAAAGACCAACTCCAATGGTTTTAAAAGTTTTGAAAAAAAAACTATTATCGTGTAAAGTGTAGTAAATCATATATTCATTACCAAATCAAGTCTGTATTGTGTCTGTATTTTTTGTCATTTTGCCAAAACTTTTGAACTGTTTTATGAAAAATTATGAAAAATTTCCACAATCTGACTGCTCGGAGTGCTGTTGAGAAACAAAATTTGTATGATGTAATACCACAGAAAAGATTTCAACTGGTGTCCGCGACTGGTTCCACTGCAAACATACATACATGAACATGGAGCTACATGTGCGTGCACTGCGTACCGGGGATCGATCTGTGTGCCGGGTCTACTGTGTTGCATTATCTCTTTTCCGTCGAGGGTTTGTGCTCCTTTCTTCATGAAAGGAGCACAAACTCTCGACGGAAAAGAGAAAATGCTCTTTCTTCGTCTTGGTGGACTTACTAGAAATTCTGCAAAAGAACTGGGCTTGAAATTCTTCAAGTTTCTGAAGAATGAGAGTATTCTTCAAGGTCGTGCTGTTGTCCATGGCTATGCGTGCTATGCATGCCTAAAGCATACACACTGTGGTATTTCCTCTACACGGTAATACATCACAGAAATTAATATTCATTAGATGCTAATGAGTCGTGACGACACATCCCTTTTTACAGTACTGGACTGGACTCGCTGGAAAAAGTGTGTTTTTATTAACACAAGAATATGTATTGCGAGGGAGATATTGAGATGTGCCACTTTTATTAGATTTGGCTCTTCTAAATTGGTTTCAGTCTGTTAACATCATTGGAGTTGGTCTTTAAAGTTTGAGAATAATTACGACACTAGTCTCTGAATGTTTGCCTCTCAAGCAGGTCGGCCAGTTGAAGATCCTGCTCTTGATTACTGGTTGTACCTTCAATTCCAAAGCAAACCATACATGTACATGTGCATGATGTGTCTTTGTTTAATGAGAAAGAAATTGGCTTGATTTCTTCCTCGTTTTTGTTTTGGCCGTTATGGTTTGTGTTTATTTGCTGCGTGAAAAGTTAACACTTGTCTGTACTTTACATAGTTGGTTTACATAGTGTTGATTTGCCTTGGATGTGTGAGGAAGGATGCATGTATTATACTTGTTAATTCTAGATTTGAGATTTAGGATTTCAATCTGGATTGCTCTTTTTTCTTCAAGGCGATTCACTGAAGTGGAAATTGAAATCCCAAAGAAGAAGTCTCATTTATCCAACTGAAATATTTTGAAAACACTTTGATCTGTACACGCACACTTCAATACAAGAACCGAGAGATAATTAAAGAAAATGTCCAACTAATTGAGCATTTTTTCTTCTGTCTTTGCTGTTCAACCAGGCCATGACCCACTTGATCTTGTTGTTGGCACTAACGTCTGTAATACTCTCAATCTCTACGCTGAGAAGCCGGTGATGTGTGGTTACTTGCACAAGCTAGGAGGTGCTGGCATGATCCGTACCTGGAAGAAGAGATGGTTTGTGCTCAAATACGACAACTGCCTCTACTACTACAAAACTGAAGACGTAAGTCCTGGCTCTTGGATAAGTAACTTTCAACAGCGTTTAGCATTTATCTCTTGAACCAACATGATTCGTTGCTGCACAAAATACTGGGATATAAAGTGTCACAAAGTTCTCTGGTTGGTATGAAAGTTCTGTAGTGCCATGAAGTATTTATTTTTAAAGAGCAAAGTATGTTTTTTGTTGAGATACATGTACATATATATTTTTCCAACTTTGTTTCCACAAGATATATTTTTTTCCTAGGGTTGTTTTGTTTGTTTATTTCAGACATGTATTCTACAGTTCTCATGAGATCTATATTTAAAAACAGTGTTATTTTCAAAATGAATTGCTGTTACAAAATATATTTTTGATGAAGTTTGCTTTTATAAGATATACTTTTTCAAGTTAATTTTTCAGGAGATTTATATTTTCAGGTTTAAATTTATTTCTGGAAAAAAAAATTAAGTCAGAAAAATATATCTTGTAAAAACAATTTGTTTCCAAATATAGGAACTATGGTTCTAAATGCAGATCTCATAAGAAGAAACGGGAGAGTGTCTCCAACAAACTGGAAAAAATATCTCATAAAACAAACTTGGAAAAAACATACTTCACTTTTTTGAAAAAATATACTTGATGGCATTACAGGGCTTTCTTAGGTACTTAAAACTCCAACAGAATTCCTTTTGTGTTACTTGTCCAAGGAACCACAGCAGAGATTAATGTCCATGTTGTGGATTGGTGCTTGTGCCGTGATGGTTAATACACAATTTCTGACGTTTTAGATTTACATATATTGCCCCCAACCTTCTAGACATACTGTATGATGCAAGATATGGGGCGGAAAGAACTCCCCCCCACACCTTTGTGTTGGTCATTGTTTGATCGGAATCTCAGGAATTCTTTACAGACTTCTACCGGGATGTTTTAGGTAACAATAGTCTAGAGTGTGTATAGGGATTGGACATGTGGGGGTACCCATCGGCCCCATATCATGCACGGTATCTTCCCAGATCCTTGAAAATCCACCCATAACAATTTCTCAGGTTTTGCTGGATTTTCAAGGCCACCATTACACTTCGTAGAGCTAAATCCCAGTGGGAGCACGACCTTGCAAGCTTGACACATTGCTAAAAGATGTTGTGCTCCGTATCTGAGTCAAAGTAATTGCCAGTTTCATTTTTTTCCAGTACTTCACGTGTGCTTGGTTACCCTTGGTTATCCTTATCCTAGGATGTGGAACCTTTAGGTGCTATCGTCCTCAGTAACTACACTGTCATGAAAGCCAGAGATGTCGGCAAACCTTTTGCCTTCAAATTGACCAAGTGCAAAGCGAGGACCTATTACTTCTACACGGCTACAGAAGATGAAATGAGCAGGTACTGTACACTGCAGTGCATTATTAAGGGAATAAATATGTGCTTGGCCAGTCTTAACCACTTACTGCCGGGTAGCCTGGCTTTGAGCACGTTTTCTTTAAATGTACAGCCGGGTTGTCCAACATCAGACAAAGGGAACTGGTCTTGCTGGGAATTACGAACATTTTTTCAGTGTCAATAGTGGAGATAATACAGCGTCTTTTGAAGCAGTATACCACTGTTTGGGGGGCATTCAGTGGGAGCAGATTACCACGGGACAAAAATGCTCCACCACCGCAGCGATGAGCCACACAGTGCTGCTGCTTGCTAATCTGGCCCCTGTTGAAAAGACGTCAGCAGCGTACTGTGCCAGTTTTGGGAACAAAAGAAAATTACATAACACCGCACAATCTGGGCTCTTTTTACAAGGTGGCAGGCCTGGCTGAAATACTCTGGCGTCAACAGATGTCTGTCAGATTAGAGTAGAAACCAGACATTCCTTCGTTTGGGTGTAAGTTTCTTGTAAATTCATATCGAAATGAATTTTTAAAGAATTTTGAAAACAGAAAAAAATGAAAAATACTCCAGTCCATCAGAATCAACATTTATACATGCCCCCGGCAGGATGTGTTTAAAGTGTACAGGCCATCAGGAGAATGGATGTGGTAAATTTTCGAGCGTCAGGCGAGGGCATCGTCTCCTAAGCCATCAGTTTAAGACCAGCCAAGCACGCACATTCCCATTCCTAAATACCGTTTGAGTCAGAATATCAAAACAAGTTTAAACATCACAAATTTCCAATGATTTGTTAAAAGTTTTATTTCAATTTTTTCGAACACCCATCTAGCTATGTTAATGGTATGTTCCTCTTGCTGGTACATGCAGTCACAAACAATCTCCTTATCTGGAGATAGGCATGGCGCGTACAGCACTTGGTGGTGCAAAGCCAGACGGTGTTTATCAGCTGTTAAAACTGGTCTCTTGACAGGCTGTTGACCACTAGGAAAGTTGATGAATCCCTTCGCCTGGGAGGACTGCTACTATCACACTGTTGTGTGAGCTGTCAGAGACTGTAATACTGTCAGAGGCATTTATACATGTACATCTGCATTAATGGATAGCATTGTTAGATAACAGGGAGAAATACTTGGTTGAACACTCGTGTATAAAGTTGACTAATGTGGGATCTGAACATCACTTTCTCAGTGACTGAGCTGAAGCAGGTACATGTGCTAACTTGAGTACAATGTACCGGTTTACAGACTCAGTCAAGTTGAGATCCAATTGCATGACAGAAGGTGCATTGTTTCATATCTGTATATCTCTGTGCAACTCTTACCAACACAGCCCTCTTGGTATGTGGTATTTTGGGACATTGAATGTGCTGTTATGTATCAAGTTTGCTCAAGACACTGACTAAATAGATTTTATCTGGTGAAGCAACTGGTGAACAAGTGTACTGACCCTAATTTATCTTCACGGACAGGTGGGCCAAGAGTATAACTGAAGCGGCCAAAACCCAGAACACATCGGACATCTGGCTGGACATCAGCACCCACAATGTGGGCCTCCCGGCCCTGTCCATCCGCAACCCAGACTGCCATGGATTCTTGAACAAGCTGGGCGCCATCAGGAAGAGCTGGAAGAGAAGGTTTTGTGTACTGAAGGATGCCTGCTTGTACTACTACAAAGACATGGATGCCCATCATGCTCTGGGTCAGTCACTGGGGAAGGTTTCCTGTTTCTTAAACTCGACGTACATGATACTCGTGATATAAGATACTCACTACCAGTACAACATGGGTTTGGTTCTCACAGTCCTTTGAAATTCATGGCCCATTATGTGCTGGCCCAAGTGCTTTGAGCATGCCAGTGGAAAAATTATACAGTTTTAACTATTCTGTCTTGGCACATGGCGCTTTGCACAAGAGTGATATGTCCGATTTCCTCAAATTGGTTCAAAGTAGCCACGAGACATTACTAAAAAAAAAATTCTGATGGCTAGGTGTGTGAAGAAAATGCATTGGAGCGATATCGGAGAAAATGTGTGGGGAAAGGGGGGTGAATTCTGACCCCCTAACACCCCCCTCTATGTTTTGAAGGGTAATTGTGGTATTGCTTATCTCACGCAGCATCCAATGGATAGTATTGGGTGGATGAGATCAAGCCTCCCAATCAAGTGTCTACATGTCATTTTTGTTTACAGGCGTGGCCCATTTCCATGGTTACAGTATCCAGGAGACTGAAATCGGCGGTAAGAAGTTTGGGTTGGTCTTGAAGCCTCCCAGTGATGACCTCAGAGTCTTCTATTTTTTTGCGGATCACGAAACCGACCGAAAACGGTAAGCCATGTTCGACATCTGGCCTCTTGACTTCTTGTGAGGGAACTGTCAGCTCAACTGTTACAGATCAGTCGGGCGGTGATTTCATTTGGGGATCAACCGATGACCGGATTGGCAACATTGGCAAAACATCGGATCAGCAAAATTTGACCTTCCTTGCTGAAATACGTGTGCCGATGTTAAATTGAAGAAAGGAACAAACTCTGCACTCTGTTTTGGCAAACAAAAAACTCATATTTTTATTTGAGCATGAATACCAACTGTATTTTTTTCATTTGGTGTGATAAATGAACAGTTACACCATGGTTAAACCCACGTAAAGTAGCCCTGAAAATTGCACCTGCGCGACCTATGCCGCAACAACTCAACATACCGAACGCGGCCCCAAGGAGCAGTCCATGTACGTGTATAGTGTTTTCATTGACAGTCATTAAAACAGCCAGGGAACTATACCATGTGTGGCACCACGCACAAGGTGGTGGGTGAGTGGTCTAAAGGTAGCTCGCAAGTGATAGCCTTTATTCAAGGCACACGTGGCTACCTGAACACCTGACATGCCCCTCTGTAGTCTTGGTCAAGACGTTGTTGTGTTATTGATACACGAGAGGGCTTTTACAAGACGATTAGCTGGAACGCACGAACCACAACAAGCCACGCCAGCAAGTGGCTAGTTGTGGTTAGTGAGCGCCTTCTTGCGTATCAATAACACAACAACGTCTTGACCAAGACTAGCACCTCTGCCGTTGGCATGCACAATGAAGACACCAACGCAATGGTGCAGCGGTGCCATGCACGCCTTGACCAAAGGCTACCGTGATTCAGCCCAAGGTGCTTTGTCTATTGTGCATGTACATGTATAAGCACCACGTGGGTTTGTGTGATCGGTTACATCGATATCATGCGATTTATTCTCTCAACAGTGACTGTGAAGGCCCAAAACTAATCCTATTTACCGGTAATGTGTAAACTGCGTTGTTAGTAGGCCTTCATCCTGTTAAGGTTACGTTTCAGTGGTTGTCGGTAAAAACATCAGATCAGATCGGACATCAGCCGATGTTCCGATTAAAACATCCAACATTGAATCGGCAGTTAAAATCTACATCAGTTGATCCTTTTTAAACAGGATAGCGCTCCTGTTGTGTTTATTTGTTTGGGGGGGTGGGGCTATGCGTGAGAAATTATGTGTCCAGTGCAGTGATCGTCGAAACTGACAAAAGGTACGCCAGTGGGTAATTGTGTGAATGTCAGACTTTTCTTCCCCAACCGAAAGATTTCAAACTATTGAGGCTCTTGGTTTCTATGCATCAAGTGTTGATTGTGTAAAGCAATGGCTAGACAAGAAAAATCCTACTTTTAGTGAAATGATGCAGAATTTTTTTTTTTCAATTTGAAGCTGGGTTGCTGCTTTTGCCATGTCCATTGGCCGTTGGATTCAGACCAACAGCAGTGAAGAGTCGGACGAAGAGAGTGCCGAAATACTCATCTGAAGACAAGGTCGTCTTCTGGTTAAAAAACAGGGCCCGAAGTTTGCAAGGTTTCATCAACAAAGGCAACATTGGATTTTCATCCTGAAATTCTGTGCACTTTCTAAAAGGTATTTCACTGCACACCTATAGCCCCAAAGTTCACAGTTTAATGTAATTGGGCCAATTTTTAGTGCATTAAACATGGCTTTCTTAAGAGCTTCCATCTTTTCCTATGCAATACAAGTGATTTTTTAACTTAAACAAAGGTTGCTGTCGTTGTTGGCAGTGTTTGATGCCAAACGGAATGGGCATCGCTGAGATATTGTTCCCTATTTCTGAGGCTACTTGTTTCGTATCATCAGCGTTATCAGTTTTGTGGCAGTGGTGTTTTGAAACTTCAAGATGCGCAACGTGTCACAAAAGGGCAGTCCTTAGAAACACCTTTGTTGGTGCTTCTTATAAACCAAGCATTTTAACATCCAATCTTATTCAGATAAAGAAGTGAACATTTTGCTTTTCAGTGAAATGAAATGGCAGCAAAACCTGAAGTTTAATCTAACACATCATGCAACTCAGTAGTTGAAGACTAGTTTTCTTTACATTTTATTTAATTCTGCAGTCAGCCCTTTATATGTGAATTATACATGTATAGGTAACAATTTATATAGTTTTTAGTTAGCTTTGTAGATGTTCAAGTACTGTGACCGTTAACATGTCTGTGATGACACATTCCTTTGTGTACAGCGTCATTTATTTCCATTCTCAGCACGAGCATGAAACGTTAAGGCGAATTCAGGCATCACTGAATTTTACCAACATTTTCAATTTCACGTGTACAAATGATTCCTGGCGTTACGCTCGAATACAATCGGCCTTAAGAGCTGGTATTTACATAATGAGATTCATAGATTGTCCTGAAACCTTACTAGATGTCTGAAATGCCCAGTAACTGTCATTTGCTCACCCAATGCAAACTTGGCCTTGTGACAGAGAAACAGGAAAGTCGCTCGCTCGCGCGTCGTGTCATCATTATGGTGTAGAGACAAAGATCATGACTTCTGTCAACGGCGTCAACACTTCCCTATTTAATCATGTATTCGTGATGATCTTGGAAATGGCTTATATTATTATTTATAACCCACCCTGTGTGGCTTTTGAATCCACCGCAGGATTCGCTGGCTAAATTTCCTTTGTTCGTTCTGCCGTTCATTGATTCTTTTATGTATCACGAGCCTTCAGTCTATTTGCAATTTAAGAAACTGTTCAACTTGCCTTGATATCTTTTATCAGCGGATAACATAGAATTTCACGCATTGGACGTGCTACACTCAGTTCTTGATCATTGCATTGTCAAACATTTAAGCCCTAAAAATATTTTGTGGTGTATTTTGTAAATTTAAATATCATTTCGGTATATGTAAAGTTTTGTAAATGCATGAAATATTAGTGCGATATTTTAATCAAGAGCTTTTTATGTGCTTCTGTTAACGTAAGAAAATATAAAATCTAAAGTGTCGCAAAAGCCACCAGCACAATGTACATAACACTGAACAAACTATGCAATTTTCCAAAGCAATTTTTCAATACTCTCAGTAGACAAATCGTCAAGTATTTGTTTGAATTCCTGTCAGGTGAAGATATAAACTAAATAATTTAATTTCACGTTGAAAGAGCTCGAAGTAGAATAAAGGAAGTACGATTTAATTGCAGCAAAAATACACGACTTCAAAAACCCAATACGTGTATGACTCAGTTTTGAGAAAGAGTGCAGAGGCAAACGTATGAATCATACTTGAATATTTGAGCCTTGAACGTCGTATTTCAAGAAATATTTTCCATAACTGTATTTTATGACTGTGGGGCTGTTATCGTTTACGCACATATCCTTGGCCACTTCACAGCCTCATGTTAAGTCGCAGCGGGTGGCAAGCTAAGGGTAAACGCCATAACGAACAAGTAATTTGACAACATGTAAACTTATGCCGATGTATTCAAGCAAAAGACGCTGCCGTCAATGATACTGCGTGTCATTGGCGGATAAAATGCGTTTTTAATGAAAACGTTTGAGAACCGCGCTTGAAATTTACGCTCAGCTGTCTATTCAAAATAATGCTTAGTATTTATACAGTGACGGAAAACATCAGAGAGGCTGTGCACATTATGGCGTCACACAGTAAATTAATTTTCTAGAATTTGCCAGCCTATTTTGGAGCTTATTGGTTCTTAAGCATTACTCTTGGTATTGTGTATTCTGAATATAAGTATTTATATGAAATATTCTATTCTTCCAATGTATAGCAATATAGCATTTCTAGAAGGTCATTAAATATGCCGCAGAGAAAGTAAAGAAAATATGCCAATTGTTTACTTTTCTGGATGTTCTTTATGTCTGTTGAAAAACCACTATCATGCCCTACAAAGCGGAGGATGGACCGCATAATTATGTTACACTGAAGGCGTCTTTCCCACGTGTACGATTTTGGGTGCGTTACGGAGACGATGCGCTCATGCCAGTGGCGTAAAGTTGTGCTGGAAATTGGGGGGGGGGGTTGGCATGGCGAAAGGTTGGGATGATGTGCCCGGCCATGGAATTTGAGAAAGGTTAGTGGGGTGGGGTTGAAAACCATAGGACTCATTTGGTTCAATAGCTCATACCCCTAACAAAAAGTGGGGGATATACAGCCCCATCCCCCGGGATTTACGCCCCTGGTTCATGGGTTCCACTTTCACGGACACAAAAAAATCGCCGCACCCCGAGAGCGATTTGACGGATACACAACGCTTGGCAAAAGTCTCTAGGCTCAAACAAACCAGGATTACCACGTTGCCTGATGGTTGAAGGAAGAACTTTAACTTGGTTGAAAATTCAAGCCTTTTCACTGCCCAATATTTTCTTATATAACATTCTTTGTCAATAGCACTACATTTCCATAGCGTTTACATTCCTGTTCCTAATTGCTATCCACTTTTCATTTCCAGCGCTCGGTATAACGTTAACCTTCGCAGGATATCCTTGGAACGCGGGCGTATAGAAAGTCCGTTGTTAATTAATCTTGAAACATGTAAGGGCAGCTACCTCGCTGATCTGGCCACACAAAAGGCCTCACGTAATTAGAACATGGGTCGTAATAATGCACTTGGCTATTATTGCGTTTTCCAGTCCTGATGGACGGACATTGTGGATTGGTTTGTGTTTTCGAAACAAAGCTGTTATGTCCGACGAAATGAGCCGGGAAGTTGCGGCGCCCGTTGCAAATGATGTACAGAATAAGGAGACAAGACTTGCTTGCACCGGTAAGCTACAGGTGGTTTGTGGGTGATGTACGTTGGCCTGTTTGTTCATTATTGTCTGGAAAGATGGGCGACAGCTTCCCACAAGGAGATGAACGGTCGCGCGCCCGAAATTCGGTAAGTACAAAGTGAACTGATTTTGCTTGGAGGTGATGTTTTTGTAAATTCTAAACCGCCACTCAATTAATCGCCATTTTGTGCGCTAATGGTGGGAGACACATATTACACTGTGATAGTGAAGTCAAATTGGCAACATTTTTTGTTGTATACTGCATTTATAACATTTATTCCGCACTCTTTTGGAAAATGTATCAAACCTTATGGAAAACAGGTACGTAAGAAATCAAAATAGATATAGGCCCTACATTACCAAAGGAAAGATAGAACTTGGGGCGTTTGTAATAAGCAACTCGTTGAGACGGTAACAATACCGAGCAAGGACGGACAGTAAAGACACAGTAAGGGCTGAACACAAACTGATGCGTGCACAAAGGAAAAGTATTATCTGGTGGCTAAGAATCTACATGAACAAGGGAAAGACTGAAGCTGTGAAAAATAATGGGAGAGAAATCATTTGTGAACCTTCAATGCGAAATCTACCCACGGAAGACTTCGATTTCACGTACGAGGACCGTGAACCTACAGAGTCCATGATGGTCCAGGTGAAGGGAAGGAACTGTAACTACAGTATACGCATGTTTTTCATGAACCAAAGTAAAGTATGACGTAATATATTATCGTGGAACTCCTATTCCTCTATGGTGTGATGGGAAAAAAGTCTTTTAGCGTGTTTGTATTTTATATAACAGGTTTTGCCCTTACCCAACGTATATTAATNTTATTAATATACGTTGGGTAAGGGCAAAACCTGTTATAAAAAATTAACATCCCCCCAACGCAAAAAAAAAAAAAAAAAAAAAAAATTCATCTTGAAAAAGCGTGTTTGTACTTAAGATTTTAATGTGCAATAAGCCTTTTGTGAGTTACATTTGAATAAAATCTGGAACATTGAGTAATATGATTGTACATAAACATAGCAATTTGAATTCCGATACTAAAGACACTGTTGGAAATAAATCAAATTAGATTAAATCAAATCAAATCAAATGTACGAAAAGAACTTGCCCCCAGAATGAGCCTTGTGGGACACCATGCTGGATGTTGAGACAATGAGAATCACAGCTCATAAATTTGTTGTGTTATTTGAGTTTCAATTATCTGGGCAAATGACAATGGCGTAAATCTGTTCCTGGGGCTTGGAAAAATGGGGATGACCTAAATAAAGAATCACATTGGGGGCGCTATTCATGTTACACATGTATGCCTTACGTACATACTAACCCCATGATCTTCTATTAAAAAGGTGTTTTTCAAGCTTCCGACTCCCCCTTGCATTACAATTTGATGCTGTTGATCGTTGGGAAAATGGAAAATTACCTCGAAATCCTCCCGAAAATCTCCCCAGGAAAAAGCGAGGCGGCCCAACAGCTACCCCCTGTCAAAAAAGTGTGGCCGGGGGGGATAAGCCCCAACCCCTGGGATTTACGCCCCTGGCAAATAATACTAAATCTTGCCTGGACGTTGTAATTTCTTTCTTTCTTTACGGATACTGAATGAAAACTTGACTTGCTGACCAAATATACGAGGGTGTGTATAACGATGGCATGGATGTGAACGATATCCGTGAAGGTCACCCCCACAGAAAGAAAGAAACACGGTTGGAAGTCCTGGCTGGAGATAGGGATGGCGCCCCACCAAAAGACGAACCTCACACGAGGAGGAAATTGTTCGTCTGCTTGGCGCTTTTCATTTTGACTGTCAGTGCCATTCTACTGATCTCTGGGCTAGCCATCTTCCTGGTATCGAGCTTCGCAGGCACCTGTAAGTATTACGGTACAGAACACATGTATTGCTCAGCGTGGTGTTATGTCAACACTTTTGCACTCTATAGTCGATGGCAAAATATACGTTCCACGAACTGCTAGCGGTGGTCAGCATTTGGCCGCACACATACTGATCGCATATAGGCAGCATCAATTTACAGTTTGTAATTTATTAGTCGCATGTTTACGCAGGCAAATTAGGTTCAAGCGTGGAAGCCGAAGATAAAACAGTTAGCCCACCAAATACTTTATTTCACACAGCATCAACAAACAAATGCTGCCTAGCTCTAAGCGTATGCATGTGTCACGGTTGTGGTTATATTTTGCAGTATATTAGGTGACTTGATGTAAAACAGCACATTGTAGAACATTCAAAAATGTTTATTGTAAGACGACACATTCTGATGTGCATACCAGACACTATTTGGAGAAGCAAACTATTTTTGGTCACAAACTGTTTTAGCAGACTTCTCAGTTTTGATGTGAATGCCAACTTTCCCAGCCATTGTCAAAACAGAATAACTGTTGTATGAGTTGAGTTGTATTGAACATGACTGTTTCAGCTCTTTTGATTAACCCTGCCGTCGCCTTAGCAACCTTTCAGACACCAGAGGCAACTTTGCATATGTTCAATGGCTCCACCGCGACTTTATCAACAACGTCTGATCCTGATCCATCAGCTGCTTCAACAACTCATCGCAACGTATCTTCGTCCATGCAACCACTTGCAACTGATTTTCCCATCGATTCAATTAGTGAATTCGCCACAACACTACCTCCACCACCAGATCAGCCTTCGCTCACGTTGACCGCAGAAATATTAACAGATCCACCCATTCATCCACAAACTACAAGTAATTCACTGAATAGTGAGACACCTCTCTCAGTATCGCCTACGCAACGTGGTAGGTTAAGATATCTAAATTCTCAATCTTTTTTTAACATCAGTAGTAATTTAAACCATGTCAGAATAAAAAGCAGATGCTCCAATGAAATTTTTGTTTTAACTGGATGAAATAACCTAAACTACCAAATTCCTCTCTCCATTCTTGCCATTTTCTGTTTTCCCCTTCCAGGGCCCTGTATGCATACCGAGTTCGCTTGCCTGTCTGATGATCTATGCATTCTGGCCATCAATGTCTGTGATGAAATCCAGCACTGTGATGATAACTCCGATGAAAACAACTGCTTCAACGGCCCAGGTAACTAATTATTTTTAAAATTGTGTTTCTTTTCAAATGTTGTATTTACATAAAGGAGTTATTCGGATTCTTAACATCAGGACAGTGCTCAACCGTTCTAGCTGACAGTTTCAGATATTTTTCACTGAAATCTTTGGGATTGTCGTTGATTATCTTATAGCACTGTCGTGTAATGTCAGGGACTTGCTTTGATATTGAATACAGGATACTTACCCTTATTTTCTACCTTACTGTCATTGTAGCCGTCGAGTCCATCACATGGCTCTGAAAAGTCCAGTGCAAGTCATTCAATCTTGAGTCAAGTCGCAACTTTGAACTGCGTTGCACAAGAGCTTGAACATTGCTTCACCATTGTTTACTTTCTTTACGTACGACTGGTCTTGTGAACCATCTGTGACTGACTCGACTAAAATATCGATTGGATACAGTTGTACTTGCTTACATGCTGATTTGTCAAATTGCAGTGGAAAGTTGTGAAAGACTAATAAATCGATACAGGCTTATAATGAAAGTATTTGTTTAGTCTGTCAAGGGAGGCGATACAATTTCAGCTTAGACTTCAACCAACTCGTTACGATCACATCTCCACGATTCCCGTTCACATACACGCCCTACGAGGACTGCCGATGGTTTATCTCTGGCCCTTCCGGCACCAGCTGTGTCTTCGACGTCGTGCACTTTGACGTCCCGGTTCCAGATGCAGTTGGGATTTTCGAAGTAGAGAATGGGTCCAGACGATTGGTGATCTGGATGCACGAGAGTTTGGGCCAGGGATTACGGATGGCATTCGAGAGTCATGAACTCGAGGTGGTTTTCTTGAGCCATTTTCACACACATGGCACAGGCTTCAACTTTAGTATGCGTGCTGTTAACAAAAACGGTAATTGATTTATCTCTGGGATACAAGGGTCTCACAGGAACAAATGCTAAACGGGTATATTGAATTATTGATTTTGAAACAGAAATCATTACGATTTTTACGGAGCTGGAAGCTGAGAATTAGGATTCATAAATTGTCTTCCCATGTAGATTATATCAAATGCGATGCTGCTCCGTATGTATACATGGTGGAAGATGCTTGTGACGGTTTTAGGAATTGTCCCGATGACACCGACGAGAAAGAATGTGGTGAGTTAGTTAATTTAGAATTTTTAGTTCAATTAACATTATTGATTTATTGCAGTGTCCTTCTTACGATTATATATGCACAATTAAACTTGATTTCTGCCTGCAGAAATATTCTAAAAGTCAAAATTTTATTGCGATGCTGAAATATTCGTTTAAACACGTCAGAAAAAAAGAAACAATTTTTGAATAGACGTCGTTTTTATTGAAGGTGTTACTTAATGCACTTTGTTATATAAATAAAATCTATTTACATTTATAGCAAAATTAATGAGTTGTCGCAGATTTAATGTTTTGGTAATAATTTTAACCTAATAATTCTCTAAGGGAGGTGAAACTTGATAGTCACGCCTCTGTGAAGTAGTAATTACGAGAGCGGATCAAAAAGTTCTGCCACTTGACCCATATTCCAATGGTACACATAAAATGTGAAATATTACGGTTGCATTCCTTCGAAGTAGCTTCCTTCGACTCCTGCACATCGCTTTATCCTCGTCCTCAACTTCTGTAGGTGTGGCAGTGACTTTATCTTTGTCGGGCACATATTACATCACCCCGATTTTATGAAGAGTCATCCAGAGTAGCCAACAGCACTGACTCGAAGATGGTGCCTTGTTCAGCTGTATATCGCAAGCAATGCAAGCCTTCACAAAGCCTGCCTCACCTGGACATTTACCTCAAAGAAAAATGGTATCCATTTGATGGAACATCCTTCCACACCCTAATTGGCTCATTGCAACTCCTGGTTTCTTCTCCCCAAAGGTCTAAGCTTGCTGGGGTGTTTTAATCAAGGATGAACGACCTCACCAGCCGTTCATTCAGAGATGAGGACCATTCTGCCAATGCTTTAAGAAGTGGACGGATGACAATACAAAGGCGTAGGGAAGTCAAGGGAAGCGAATGTGACTGTAAATTTTGAGATGTGTCATCAGAAATAATGCGATAAGTGGCAGAACCTTTTGATCCGCCCTCATTTAAATTACAGACCATCTCAGATAGGAAATAATTAATGTATTGATCTAATTGATTGATGCCTTTACTCCCAGAATGCGACCAGGAAGAATTTCGTTGCAACAGTGGAGTTTGTGTGGGCGGATCGGATACATTGTGCAATGGTCTTGCGGAGTGTAGGGACTTCTCAGATGAAGGAACTGAATGCAATGAACGTATGTACACCGTAAAAACTGTAGTGTTATTTTAACGCCCTGGACTGGTTGAGGTCCTCTCACAACGCCAATTGTTCAAATTAACATCAGTGTAACACCAGAGTGTACACCGTGCAATACTCAAGATATGCTACTTGTATTGTTTATTTGCCGCAGAATCGTTGTCAAATTTAGAAATGCTTTTCTTTACGATTGGATATACCTATGAAGGTACCCATAGGCTTTTGTTATAATGTTAACACCAATGCATTATTTAATGTTTCGCTAGGTACGTGACGTCACGCTTTCTCAATTCAAACAGCCTTGGTCGGTGAAGATCTTTAAACATCGTGTTGTACCGGCCGCGGCAGTGTAACTTTTAAATTGTGATACATGCATGTTCTTGTTACGCAATGCATAATTTTGACAACTGATTTTTTGCTTAGAATATCTTTTTTTTCATACCGTAGTCTACTGCACTGGCATTAGCCACTCGGCCTGCGCTGGCGTTTTGCCGTACAACAGGACGTACTTTCCGAATGATCATGTTGACACCTTGGAAGATGCCTTTGCCAAGTATGCCGCCCTGGAGCCGTACTTACACCTTAATAACTGCACTGCACCGGTTAGACTGGCTGCCTGTATGCTTCTCTTTCCCGAATGTCCGCGGTTAAACCCAACAGCGACGGTGTGCGGACACTTCTGCGAGGAAAAAGTGCTGGTCTGTTTTGCTCCCATCGTGACTGTGGATATGTTTTCGTGTGATTTGTTGCCTAATGGAGAGCTGGGTGAAAGCACTACTTGTGTCTTCAACGAAGAAGGTTGGCTTATTCCCTTTTAATTCGCTTCATTAGAGACATTTGGGAAAGTGCTGTTGTCAGTTTTAGATGTATGAATTTTGAACACTTGATTAATTCTCACAAATCGAACTCATTATTCGAGCAAATTATCATATGTTGTAATATCTGCACAGAAAATTGACAGATGCAAAATAAGATAGAATGATGCCTCATTTAGAAATGTCAGCTATGAAAGCCGTGAATTGATCTGATAACATAATTTTCTTTCATAATTATGCAAGAAGTTGTTCATTTTGAAAAATTAATAAAATTAACGTCGATCAATTTTTCCTTCTTAACAAAACGCAAATTCGAAAGCCAAAAACAAGTTCAATCAACTTTTATCAGCGACTGAACACTCCTTTTCTTTGGCAGACTTATTACACACCGGAACCTGCGGAACTAGACCAGGTGTGTCGTCACAAAACAATCCACTATCTCGAATCGTAGGAGGGGTGGATACCAACATTGAAACCTGGCCTTGGATTGGATCTTTACGCGATGAATATTCAGAGCATAGATGTGGGGCGACGCTGATAACTAATCGATGGGCGGTTACAGCGGCACATTGCTTGTAAGTGCTGGATATTGATAATATCACACTGCATATTCCTTTTTCTGCCGAAGTGGTAATTGTTAAAATACGAAAGCGTATTGCTGCAAACGAGAACAAATATTTTATCTCTTTTAAACGACATAGTTATCTCGTTTAAACGAGATATCTCCATATAGGTCGTTTAGACGAGGTAAAGTTATATCGTTCAAACTAGATACTAACTCGTTTAAACGAGATAACTGTCGTTTAAACGAGATAATAAGTTGTTGAAACGAGTCACAATATTTTTGGGTTGGCGGCAATACGCTTCCGTAGTAAACAGAGTTTTGCCAGTTGCAGTAATTTCAGTTGCTGCATGTTTAAAACAAAGTGTTTATCTTAAAATGCATTGGAACATACATGTATCTACCGACTAAATGTCGAAATCGAAATACATTATCTGATTCTTACAATAAAAGGGACGTACCCAGGTTTTGGGTCCAGAGAGGGGAAAGTAGGATTTTTTTCTACAACCAACGGCCCAATTTTTTCATCCATAAAAGAATTCTCATCACCCCACTTCCAAAAGGTGGTAGTATCATTCTGAAAGTGTTAACACTCTCAATTCCTAAAAAAAGAAGAGAAAACAGGACTACATTAAGGAGAGGGCAGCTCGTCCCCCCTCCCTGAACATGCGGATAAACTCCACTGCTGACCATTCACTTCGTAACAGAGGCTCCGTCCACCACATCGTGTTGGGATCAACAAATTTCCACGGAAACCCAGCCAGTCGCCGAGAAATTATGGTGGAAACAGTGTTCCCGCATCCCTTCTACGATCCGGTAAATCTGGACAACGACATAGCTCTCGTGAAGTTGGAATCTCCCGTTAAATTCAGCGGCGCAATACGACCAGCCTGTCTAAACACTGAACAAAATGAGACGCTTGTCTTCGATACATGCTACATTGCTGGCTGGGGGCACACCAGTGCTGGAGGTATTGTATTCTTTTCTTTGTTTCATATATTCTGTCTCATTTTATTTTTCATTAAAACTCCACTTTGATGTAAGCTTCCATGAGTAAAAACATTTTCGATGTAAGAAACATGAATAACAGTGAATAACATGAATAACAGTACATGCAAACAAATTACTTGGTAGGTGTACATTTACATGAAATGCTTCATACAGTTATTTGGTATCATTTTTGGGCGCGTCTCCAAAAAGTACAAAATTTGCAGTGTCCTGGCTTAAAATCGTGTCCGTGGTTTAGAATGAATGTGTTGAAGGTGAGAAAATGGAATGGATAATGTCTTAAGGAAAACGTGATTAGAAGGTGGTTGTTTAAGGAACCAAACCTCCATGTGCTCAAGAAAATCTTTGACTTGAGTGTCCCAAGCATGACATCGATTGAGAGAAAACACGTGCTGTTGTATTGTTTAGGTGCTGTGTCGTATGACCTGCAAGAGGCCAGGTTACCTTTAGTGCCTCAAGATATTTGTCAGGACCAGTCTAACAGTCCTCATCTTGTTTCGAAGAATCAGTTGTGTGCTGGAGTTACCGAAGGAGGCATCGACACCTGTCAGGTAGGATTCTATTTGGTATTGTTTGGCGTTTTTTTTTTCAATTGCTCGATCGATAAATTGTGTTAGTCATTATAATTGTAATAATATTGATTAAAAACACATCTAGTTGTATTTGCGATGGACGGATCATCTTGAATGTATTATGTAAAACATCATTTCATTGCTTCCAAATTTATCCCGTTTTCAACTTCTTTATTAAACTTCATTTTGTGGGTTTATATTTCAACTACGTAACTAAGATTGATTTGTATTGCACTTGCTCAGAATGACGTGCATAAATGCGGTAGTCTTGTGTCACCAACAACATGGAAAGACTTTTCAATGAAATACTTTTTTCGTTAAGGGTGATAGTGGAGGACCTTTGATGTGTCTTAGTGTCGGTAATCGATGGAAGCTGGTAGGGATAACGAGCAGCGGGAGTGCCGAGTGTGGAGCGCCGGAGTCTCCGGGTATCTACACCAGGGTTTCAAAGTACCTGGATTTCTTGCGGCAAACCATCGCAGCTGTTGGATTCAATAATCTTACTGTCCCACAGGCATGAGACATTTCACAGGTATGTAACGGAGAGTGTACGAACTGTCCTTTACTTTTTTTGTGCATAATAATGTGGACTATGGTGCATAGGGCGTTGTGTATGCTGCTATATGCTAGGGCAGACTGTCTCCGTGTAGCATTACACAGGTTGTCAGTCCAGCCGTTCACTTGCGGGTGCATTATAGTAGATTTTGCCTGGGCCCACGGTGCCATGGTGCTTGAATTGTGTTGGCCGTATCGCTATAGTACGAAGATGTATTTGGGACATGGTTAAAAAAGAAATTCTCTTCTCCTTGAGCCAACTCATACGTACGACTTGTATGTCGTACGTACGACTTAAATCCCGTACGTATGACTTCAGTCCCGTAAGTACAACTTCTATCTCGTACGTACACTTATATCTCGTACCTACGACGTATATGTCGTACGTACGACTTATTAATCATAACTCGTACGTACGACTTCTATCTCGGAGATACAAGTCGTACGTACGAGTTATGATTCATAAGTCGTACGTACGAGATATAAATCGTACGTACGAGATAGAAGTCGTACGTACGACATGCAAGTCGTATGCACGAGTTAGCTTAAGGAGAAAAGAAAAGAAAAATTTCACCGTGTCCCTAACACAGCTTCGTACTATAGTGACACTGGGCTATGCAATGTAATGTTGTTTAGGCAGTGCAACATTGAGATGTGCAATACTACTTGGGTCCAGCGTTGGTAGTTGGACTCGTGTACCAATGCTGATAGTTTATGTGGCGACAGTAGTCAGTGCGTTGCTGATTGGCGCGACGCAGTGCGATATTACCAGTGTATTGCTAATAGCCTCTCCTCAGGACCACGCAAAACAATAGGTTGTAATAAAGCTTACCCAATACAAATTATCCCTAATCGTTTAATCAATTATTTATTTGTTGAATGTCTGAATAAATTACATTGTTGTTGAGGTTATCGGCAATTTTATTGTCAGGTGTCCTTCTTGTTGTGTATCGTCTAATTGGCAGAGAGCATCACAGATATCGGCGGTATATTTCCACCAACACCTTAGCCTTTAGGTCGCTTTGAGTGATCTCTGGACCGAGGAGGAACCCGAACTTGGGCTAGAGTCGAGACCCCAACCGGTTTCAGACTTTATCCTCAAACTGAAGGTTAGGCCTGGGGAAACAACCACACCGCCACAGGTATATAGTTTCACTGACGGAAGTGAAAATAACCAGATTTTTAGTTAAGATGGAATTTGTAAAGTTTGAATCGTAATAAGGGAAGTTTTTACTTTGTGTATTTATTGTCCCTTCAATCTGTTCAGGTCATCTTTAACTAGGCCTATTTCATGTTAAATATATGTATCTATAATTGTCGAGCTGTTTTCTTATAGTGCTTTAACAAGAACTTACACAAGCCGAAAAAATGAAACAAATTTTGCTGTCGTCTCCAAAAGAATACTTCCAACATAATTTCTGGATTGTTTTATTGGGTAGTTCGTGAAGTAGCGACGCAATAAGCCTTTTGCGAGTTACCTTTGACCCAAATCTGGTACATTATATATGAGTTCTTTAAATTCACGTGAACATAACAACTTGAATTCTCCTTAATAAAACCACAGGGCAAGCTTTTGCTTAGTTGCACAAGAGACGCCTTGCAACAATACACTGTTATCAGTGGATAAGAAGGGCACAGAGGAACCAGTCCATTCCAGAGATGATCGTGGCTATGCGAAATTTTGCCCCGAATCACGAGAGGTATAGCAACAGTGTCCTTAGTCTGGGGAATTCAAATCGTAATGTTTATGTACAGTCAGATAACTCAGTGCACCAGATTTTATTCAAGTGTAACTCGTAAATGGCTTATTGTGGCACTTGGTGGTAAAATGCCCCTTTTCTGGCACAAGCAGTTAATATGTGAAACCATACCTAAGCCACCTATCCTTGGTACCTAGTGGTGAAGAAAAGGGTACACATTTCTAACTGGAAGGAGCCCTTTCTTAGTCATACTGTATTGCCCAGTATGAGATTGATTTAAACCTGGTACATGTGACGAATTCTCAAATTCATTCTTGCGAATGCTTTGAGAGCAACATTCTCCTTGGGTATCGATGATGGTCGGACGTATTCTAATCAGTTGAAGGAGTTCAAATTGTTAGTTTTTATGAAACTATAGTTGTGGAAGTTAACCTTAACTTATTGTTAATAAACACGGTCAGGAATGCTTTAACTGTGCGTGAATACTGCATAATTGCATGTGTAAGAATTCTTGTCTTGGATAAAATTTAAATCATGCAGGCGTAAAAAGCCGCAAGTAACAGTCATTCCATAATTCAAAAGGTCATTCGGTTAGGGATTTGTGCGTCCGCGGCCTTGGTGATTCTATGGTTTGTTTGTCCTCTGATTTAATAGGTATTATGCTGCTGACTTCGTTTCCAAAGAACTTCGTGAAAGAGCTTTTGATAGGCCGTTCATTCTCGAAGGGCATTTACGGCTGGTTTTGAGGCCAAACCTTGCACATCACCCATGGTTCCTCACTCTATCGTATGGTGTTCTATTCACACCACATTACGCTGCGCGAAAAGAGTAGTTTCACTGCGCAATGAGAGACGTTGCATTTCGCGATGAGAGTCATTGCACTGCGCACGCGGTAAGAGTAGTTTCACTGCGTGATAAGAGTACTATACACGTACTTTTACTCCGGGGTGAGGGTTGTAAGAGCACTGCGGAATGAGAGTTTTTAGGCACTACGGAATGAGAGTTGTTAGGCACTACGGAATGAGAGCTGTTAGGCACTGCGGAATGAGAGTTGTTAGGCACTGCGCGATAAGAGTTGTTAGGCACTGCGCGATGAGAGTTGTTAGGAACTGCGCGATGAGAGTTGTTAGGCACTACGGAATGAGAGTTGTTAGGCACTGCGCGATGAGAGTTGTTACTGCGGAATGAGAGTTGTTAGGCACTGCGGAATGAGAGTTGTTAGGCACTGCGCAATAAGAGTTGTTAGGCANCGCAGTGAGGGTTTTTTGGCAGCACAGTGAATGTTGTTCAGCGGCGCAGTAAGTAAGAGACATTGCGCCATCTCGTGACTCCCAGGAAGATTCTGGCCTCGTTACTTTACTGGAAATTCAAACTTATTAGCACTGAGACTGGGACACTGGGACCAAAGCACGAAGATTGGAGCCAACCATCAGATCAGCCAAATATTAATTTAAACACTCACTGCGCTGTCAAACAGCTCTCACCGCGCAGTGAAACAACTCTCATCGTGCAGTGAAACAACTCTAATCGCGCTGTTTAATGACTCTTAAGGCGCAGTGTATGTGGCCTGAATGTACACCATAGTCTTTCGGCCATCACAATATAGGTATAACTACAAAATGGGCAGGAGTTTGTCGGAGAGTTTCTTTCCTACCTTGTCTCAGGCTACCAAATATATAATAGGCAGAGTGATGTTAATCTCGCCTCCAATGCTTACCTATCGCCCAATAATACACTACACCGCGTTCTGCATGAAAACACCAGTGCGACAAATAAAGCTTGTGTTTTCAAGGGCAAATCATTGTGTGATGAACGGTAGCGATCTTTTGAAAATGCTTGTACTTGCAAATTAAAACCTGTTTGCTCCTGAAAGTTGTAACTAATTGCTGTGGAAGCTATACAACACCATACCTGTCTTCCTTCTCCACACAAAGAGTACCAAATTATGATAAGGCATCATATACTTAAACAGTGGTAAATAGATTTTACTGGTCAGCCATATCAAATTGGACGCACACGTAATTTTTTATTTTTGGAGGCTGGAGAGTAGAAGTATTCACGGCAAATTAATACCAGTCTGTGGTGAGGAATTATTTACAGTTCGAAACAACATTTTCTTTCAGTTTTAAGATACATTGGAAAACCTCCGCCATTCCATTAAAAAA